ACAGTGCTACTAGTAACAAAGGGCATCGCTATTCGCAAGAAGCTACTAGTAACCGGACACTTTCCAAGGAACTGTGCACTGCGTACGGACGCACCTCTGCATGTCACAGGGATATTCTTTTTGCTGCGAGCAGTCGGCCAGCGACACCCGGGCGGGCGAAACACCATGGGATGGACCGGACGGCAGTGACTGGGCGTGAGTGACCATGTGTTCGGTCAGACTTGGGAACAGGATGGGAGGCGATGTTGCAAACATCTGAGGCAACTTGAAAAGATCTGTGGAAGCCTCGCGAAGTATTCAATCCGCAGTTGAAGCCTGACCTAAGTCATGTGGGATTGGAGAAGTAATTACAATCATTGTGTCACGTCCGAGTTGGGGCACGAGAAGTACCAGCAATACCATGTCACGGTCTCAGTCCACAGGTCGTGGCCTGCTTAGGATTGCCGCAGCTTCAAACTGGCAGTGGGTCCCAGGTTGGTATCCGCTGGGCTCTGTCAAAAGAATGCTCCATGCTCTCTCCTTGAAAAGGCTGCATCTGCAGAATAAGCCTCTTGAAATTCAAGATATAATTTGTGGAATGCTGAGGGAAAAACACTCAACAGTATGTTGAGGGACCCTTCCCAAATTTGGCGCTCCTGCTGGGACATTCACCGAGCGTGACACCTCTCCTCTCCTAGTCTCCTAGACTAGTCTCAGCTTGCTGCCTCAGCTTACTGAGCACGGATGAACTCCTAGCAGGAGCGATTCCCAAGAGAAACAACCAACGATTCCTGCAAGCGACCATCCATGCTATCACGGACCGGATGGAAGGCCTTTCCATCCGCACAGGGTTCCGGAACCCGAACAAAAACACCGTCTTAGTCTTATCTGCCAATGACTTGGGGTTGTATTTCTTCCGTTGCTCATGAAAAGCAGTAACTCAAACTCATACTGAGAAGCGATTTGGGGCTTGAGGGGGAGGGTCACAAGTTTCAGCCCCAACTATCAAACGGTTGGGTCTAGGTGGGGTATTCCTGAAGAACTGCTTCAGAGACTATCATCGAACTAGTCTGCCCATCAGGACCGTCCGGTGGACGTCTCCTTTACCTGGCTGCCTCAGGTTCCCTTAATAAAATGGTTACTTGACCTTTCTCCATCTGGGGACAAACACCAATCCCCCAAAAAGGTCAAAGGTTATCCACGAATCCACGAAGGGTAGGTTCTATACCAATGCGGACCTTGTTTTCAGTGACCCACCACCCGTGCGACGGTGGCGCCAAAAGCTTTGCAAAAAGCACTGGGACCGCGAGTTGCGTGGAAACATCGCGCCCGGTGGGGGGTCGTCGCTCGAGTCGAGCGACGTGTGTGTACTTTCTTGTTCGCTGCGCGACGTGTGCCGAGAAGAAGGAAGCTTGGATTTGCTGTCCAGGAACCTGGAAACATGTTCGCCAGAATTGGATTTAATATGAGTTAACCATAGGGGAAGCTTAAGCAACACCAGGGTGAAAGTAGGTGGTACCAGGTGCCGTCGTCTCGTGCTCAGAGGAATGCCCTCTGGTGCTCAGGAGAAGGAATCTACCTGACTGCCCAAGTTGGGGGCCAATCACCAAACCCCAATGGATCAGTACGGCAACCTGACCCCATCAAGACTGTTCTCTTTCTTCCTTTTCTCTTTTTCTTTGGTTCTAATAGCGCCTCCAAATGCCTCCTATAGTAGCGATGGCCTACCTCCTAGCGATGGCCTCCAACCCCAATCAAGACATCTCAAGATGGACCCCCAAGAACTATAGAAAAAAGACACACAACAAGCGTGAAAAAGGGATCCATCAATGAGTGACGTGCCCCGATCGGTCCGTGCAGTCTTGAATCAGAAACCGCTGCACCCCACACCCGAACATCTATACAGGTCAATGACCTCATTTTACAGGAGTTGGTCACGCACAAAACACGACTTAAGGAGGCCAAAAAGAACAGGTTTTACATGGTTTTACTGGATGAAACTGCACTTGTATAGGGCATAGGGTATCACCATGGTATCACAACCACCCACTTCATCGCGGACATGAGGATCTCTGAACCGCTACTGAGCAACATCGAGCCGCGTCGACCATGTACATCGCATGAGGGTTCATCGGATGCATCAGACCCCATCGGGTACTTGGCATGTCGTGTGGTTTTTGATCTCTTTTGGCTACGGGATATCCAATCGTCGAGCCTGTTCTGTCTAGCAGTTGCAGTTGCAGAACAAGATCTATACACCATGAGCAGTGGCAACCGATTGCTCCAACGGCGAACGCCCGAGTTGCGTTCCTACGGATCACTCGGTGACCGTCGGGGGTCGTCGACCGTCCACGACAGTCGTGCAAGCTTCACGACCGGGTGGCCGTAGTAAGGCCACCTGGAAAGGAAAGAGTCAGAACATGTGTAAGATTGTGTAAGCTTCCGCAGGTGGGCTCACTACCAGAGTCTAGCAGAGTTGGTTCCAGGAAAACCTCTTGCTCTCTGATTTCGCTCAGCATGCAGCACATTCCACGTCGCTTCCAACGAGACTCTCCCCCACAAAGCTTTGGCATATCGAAGAGATAGAAGATTCACTCGGAGACACATGTAAACTGAAGGCGTCTGATCCCTCTGTCGATCAAAGCCCCTCGCTTCTGCAAGCATCAAAATGGCAATTGGGCGAACCCTGCACCGAGCACTCATTGCTGTGCCCAGGGCTTGCGTTCGCACGCCTTTTGACGCGCCGCACAGGTTCTGGTGCGTTTGCACTCAAATGCCTCGGCGCAAGGGAGTGAAGCAAAGCATTTGTCGGTCGAGGGGAAGCATGGCTTTCCGCTTTCCATCTATGAAAGGATCATAGAAGAATCAACCCTGGTGTTGTCTCTCTCAAACATGGGAAGGGCAAATGATGGCAAATGCACGCCAAACATAGATGAGGCTGCCTATGACGCCCTATGTAATCACTCATTAAAGAATCTAACTAGTCGAGGCCGAGGGCATCTAATTGCATGAAGTACAAATCTGGCAAATGAAAGCTCCTCTCGTGGGTAATGTTGCATAGGCAGTATTGAATGAATACCGGGAGAGCCTGACAACCCTTATTCAGCAGAACTTGCATCCTGAGAACCCTCATCCTGCGCATCCTGCAAGATCCTGCAACTGACCCATCTCCATGAGGGTACGACAAGAGGAATGGCTGTAGGATGTTGTAGGAAAACTTACCACGCAATAGGTTTGGTATGGTTTGGTTTGGCGGACATGAAACCGGTCCAAACCCTGCCATTAAAAAACACACATTTCGACTCCTTTCGTGCACACCAACTTGGAATTCCTTTCAGTTCACAGTCGGTGCATGTGCTATTCCGAGCGCCACCGATGCCGTTGAACAGCAAATACACCAACATGGCAAACAGTTGGGTGAAGCGAACGGAAAATCCAAACGCGCCACCCGCCAACTGGCCCTTCGGCCCTCTTTGGTCTCCAGTTCCAGTTCCGTGAACGAAGATGTTAGCAAAAACAACAACACATGGTCGACTGCTGCAAAGTAAAAACACCCCTTCAACTGGAAGGGGTGTTTAATTTCCATCTTCTCACTTGGAGTGACCTATCCTACTCAGCTAAGTGGCATTTGGGCCTTAATGTCATCAAACTGTGATCTCATCTTTAAAACACTGCTGTCGACACTGTCGACACACTTTTTCTATGTCACTACTGGAGGCGCTCGCATCGAGTTGAGTGGCAACTGCCGGGCCAATGGCACCCACCCCAGTCCCACCTTCTGAGAAGGTACGACTGGATCCCTAGGGCTTACTGCTTTCCATCCACATGTCCCGCCGGTCGCCATCGGTCTCAATCACACCCAGCGGCCACCGCTGGAGCCGCTTGATGAGCCGCTGGCCATGGAGGAAGCTCCGGAGCCCGATTGGGACTGCCAACCAACGCCGACGGCGTCAACGGATGGGACAGTGGGAAGGTCCAATCTGGATGGAGTAGCTTCTTGCTCCGTTCGTGGACGAATGACCTCCACCTAATAGCGATGGCCTCCACCTAGTAGCTTCTTGCTCCTAGTAGCTATTTGCTACTAGCCTTGAAGGACAAAGAAATCAAATGATAGTTGTGCGTAAGAATTATGTATAATATGAGAATAGGGAGACCGCCCCCAAATTCGTTGTTTGGGTTCGGACAATGGGACACCATGTGAGCGGTGGTCGAAACCCTTTAGTCTTGGCCTTATAATAATCCTTCTCTGCTTACGCGTCGGCTTCCGCAATGCTTACGCTACCAATGTTTTCGCTTACGCGGTGATGTTGTTTCTCTTAGAGCTTACGCGTTTCTTACGCGGCGGTTTTGTTACCGCCGTTTTGGCACCAGAGCGGTGAACACTCTTTGTTCCCAACCGATCAGGTGAGGGTGGTTACAGTAGATTTTAGAAGATGATCCCTCTCCTTCTCCTCTGCCCCGCTTCACTAGAGCAAGCGCCAGATCACAGTGGGGAATCCCGGACTCCAACAGCATGCGCCAAATAGCGGTGGGCACTCCCGGACCTCAACCGCAAGCTCCAGATCGCAGTGGGCACTCCCGGGGATCACTCGAAGTAAAGTAATTTACACTTTGCTTGTATGATTCACTTGGTGGAGCCCGCTGCTTCTTTTTGTCAGCCATGGGGACCAAGCAGTTGGAGCGAGGGTCACAGTGCGCTTTGTGCTTGAAAAGTGCTCAGCTGCTTGCTTTGGTTTCTTTAGAAAAAACCTTTGGTGGACGTGAGCAAAGGGCTTCATCTGAGAAGTTCGCCTACGCAAACCTTACGAATCGGCTTACGCGGGGCTTACGCGGAATTCGTGTGGTCGTGGGCCACTCGACCCCTGCAAACAGGGCCTTTGAGAGATTGAGTCCACAACCCTTTTCTGCTTGCAGTGTTTCTCAGCAATAAACAATATATTGGCTGTGTAACTAGAACACTCAAAATTGCTTACGCACCTCTTACGCATCGAGTGTCCCAAGCTTGGCTTCCACCGAACCTTACGCAACCCTTACGCCGTGCAGACTTTAGCTTACGCGACAGTCTTGCAGTTTAATCGGATCATGTGGTTCTTGCATTCAGGTTTTGAACGCTGCTCATGTGATGAGTTGATCACCCCAGCCAGGGCCAAGAAGTCTCCTTAGTGAAGCACCCAAATCATCTCTTCTGGAGAAATCGCAAGGGTCCAATGCCTTCTGGAGACACAGGGAGAAATGTTAACGTCGGCGTCGGCGAGAACTTCCCAGGTCTATCTACCAGGAAACACGGCCCATTTTGGCCGCCCAAGTGGTTTAGAACTTGCTTCAATGTGGCCGCTTTCTCGAGGACAAATGGGAAATCCAGTCAAACCTGGCAAACATGGAATTGAAGTTCTCGGCTGTTTCAACACTATCAGCTGTTGGCACTTAATGGTCTATTTCTTGGCGCCCACCCCGCGGCTCCACGAGAAGCACACAGACTGGGACGTTCCTGTTTCGACCCTCTGGGGCCATCGCCCAAGAGCTCCCCACCAAAACGACTCGAAACCGCCCATGTCCAGCATCTGGTGCGACTCGCCAACGTCGCCTTGTTGCTGGCTTTGGTGATCCGCTTTACCGCCTTTTCCTGAGAGGCACGTGGAGGTGACGGAGAGGGCGTGATGGAGGTTGTTTGATATGCGAAGACTGGCGTTGAATGGCGGTCCAGTCCCCCAAATCCTCGGCCATACCGCACCTGTCGATATCAGATTCATCAGGTATATGCATTGCAAAGTGCCAACAAATGTATGAAAGGCCCGTCTTCACATAGGTTTCCCCTTTCTAAGTTGTCTTGCCTATCTAATTGCCCATAACTCAGCTTCATACGACACTCTTCTTATAATTATAGAGCAGGGAAGCAGGAGGGTCCTCAGGAGGGTAGAAATCTGCATAAGCAAGGACAACGAAGAAGAGGAACTAACTGCCAATTCAGCACACTCACTATAAGGGAGGAAAATGAAGTACAGTATTCAAGAAGAGGAGTACCTAATCAAAGACTGCCACGGTCTACAGGCAAGAGCACACGGGCAACGAATCCTCTAGCATGTGACCTGACTCCTTTAGTGTTGGTTATGCATTTCTCGGCTGCATACTGGGAATAATATGCAAAGTTCTGCAAAACGCTGACAACTGCAAAAAAACAGTCTGCTTAGGCTAGGAAGAGCTTTTATGAGGAGATTGCCAACATGTCATTTCCTTGGTTCCCAACGATGTTTAGAGCACAATTTGGAGGATAGAAAGAGTCCATCAGCAAAAGAAAAGCGCCTGCCTTGAGGTAACATATGCACATGGGTAGTAAAAGCAAGAGCAATTGACGCTTATGGAACATGGTGTTGGTTCAATAGCTAGTTTTGTGTGGTTGGATGCTCTATTATTGTTGCTTTGGTTGGGCTGTGGCACAGTTGCACTGGGAAACGCAATTGGGAGATAGTTCTCAACGAAGTGCCAAGCAAACAATCTGCACAGCAAATAATGAGAAATGGTCGGATCGAATGCAGAATGCAGAGTACATGCAAAAAGTGCACGCTCAGGCCGCTCAGGGGCTCAGGGTAGCCTGTTATGAACAACTATGTGATGTGTTTCTTGGACGAGGCCTGACCCGTCTGTCCAGAAGACACTTTGAGTCCCCCACTCCGAAGGACATTCAGTCAAAATCCCCTCGAAACCACTGGCCGCATGGATTGGTCGGTGGAAAAACCTTCAGCGCCGAGGCACGATGATCTTCTCCAAGCGATCCACCTCGCTTTGAGGGGCGGCTCAGGGAGATAGGATGAAAAGGGATTTGGCTTCAGAAACCGACTCTTCCCAAGTTCGAAGAGTAGGTATGCCACATTGCATCGGGGAGACTTTTGAGTCAGTCTCTCCACTCGTTTGTCCTCACACCAACTCCTTAAGTCGCCACACCTTTCCATACTTTTCCTGTTGATTCTGTGCCATATCCTACCTCATCCCATCGAACCACTGGGATTTGCCGGGACCAAAAATCACCCCAGCGCCGCCAAACCCACCAACCTCACGGCGCCGAAATCCGGGTGCCCGATGCCTTATCCTCAATGTCCACTTCGTTGGCCGTTTCAGGCCACGGTGCCGTGGGGCACGTCGAGCCACCGTACCTTCCGGCGAATCGGCCACCGTCGACGGGAACGAGGTCCGTCTACGGTGCGATAAGCAGGGAGAAGCAGGGAGCTGAAGCGCCAACAAAGAGAAGAAGACTCCTTTAGGATCTAGCCACCCGTAGCGAATCGGCCGGTAGCCATCCGTTTCGGACGGAGCGGATAGCAAACGGTAGCGTCTGGATGACACACACGCAGGGATTTGACTTGACTGCATGCTTGTGGCGAATGCCGTGAAGAACTCCTGTCCGATCGAAAGAGTCTGATGTCTGCCCGCCCGGGCGCCTGTAAAGCCTCTAACGAGTCATAAGACACGGGCCATCACAGGCCTCTGACTCCTTTGATGGCCGTTTTTTGATTTAAGTAAAGTGATGTCAAGCCAGGATACAATTAACCTCCCCTAGTCAATCCGAGCCACAACATCCTCGAAAGCTCACCCATGTTGAAAGTATTCAATATATCAATATTGTATGGTGGACTGCATGGTGGTTATTTATTTTCCCCATGAATTGATATGTGGGTGTTAGAATCCCCGAGCTAGTCCGAGCCACATAGCCAGGACAATGTTCAATTATCAGCTGGTTATATAACTCCCAGAAAGGTTAACCATGCTGCCATCCCTACCTGCCTGCAACTAATCTCCTTTTGAACTCACCGATCAGGTTTGCCGATGGTTTGGCCTTTCGGATGCTTCTTAGTCAATAGCCCTGCCAGTTCTCTGTATGATTGTTGTTTTGCAGCTGGTTCTCCATAAACTTTCCCGAAATAGTGTAGGGTTTAGGGTTTTAGATGACTTTAACGTCCTTAACTTAAATAATTTGATATCATTGAGAAGCTCATCAATCCTCCGACCCTCCCTTTTCACACCTTATCTCCTTCCTATCCAACACATCGCTGGAAGTGGACCCCATGAATGGCACCCTGGCCATATTACCTTGAAAAAACCGGCATGCTAGCAGGCCAGTGCCGCTTGGCGCGATCACTTCCTCCGTCCGGTCCCCGACCGCGTCCGACCGTCGCGCAGTCACGCGGCGCGCGCGTCCACGCGGCCTCTTGATGGAGTCAGAGGTCACCGGATTGGCGCTGGCCGACTCCAGGACCTGTGCCGGTTCCGGAGGTCGGGAGGACTTCGGCGTCCAGCGCAGCGACCGGGGTTAGCGCGGCTGCGGTGAGCTGCGGGAGACGCTGCGGGTGACGCAAGGCTGCGGCCTGGATGCCACCGGCCAAGCCAATATCGCCCTCATTGAACTCCAGCTTCCTGGCTTCGAAGCGCAAGAACCGAGAACTCAAGCCATCCCCAGCCCCATGCGATCCAACATGTAGTTATAGCATATTGCCGAGTGAGTGGATCGAATTGAGTCGTTGGGATGAGTCATAAAGTCCAAAGACATGCGCGCACGAGAAGGTCCCATGAAATGTCCAAGGAAATGGCTCAATCAATTACCTTGAGTCCGCGCGTACTAGTTACTACGTGTCAGGACGATGCCTTTTATGATCTAGAACACTTGCTTGACATTGAAGACTCCAGGGTGCGTCCCCCATCGTCCCCCTCCGCTGCGATTTGCTGAACCCACTCACATCCTCCTGGTGCGCAGGAAGGAACCAAAGAGTGGTCCAGGATTTCCACGGTGGTCTTCCTATGTACTTCGTGGCGGCCAGTGGGCCAGCAGATCTACACCCAGCACTATCTTTGGGAAAGGCTTCCAACGATGTCAAATGTCCACGAACTACCGCTTACCAGGCCTGACAAGAGTCTTGATGGGGGTATGTGCTCCACAAATAAACAAAACTGACAAGCCAGCCCGAGTAGAGGATGATCTTCCCAACCATCTCTGGCAGTTCCGGAGATGACTGTTTTGACCCGTCTGCCGAACCACCCTCTACGATTGACATGTCGAGTTGCTCATCCATCTGTAAGCTCTCCACAAACCTGGGGAGGATAGAGGGGGGGAGCTAGGCAGGGTGTGAAAACATACCAGAACACCTGCAAAAGAGCAAACAGCTGGAGAGAGAGAGAGAGAGAGTGAGAGAGAGAGAGAGAGACACAAGCTGAGATGTTCAAAAAAGGCCATGTCAGGTTTGGCGCATTTTCTTGTGGAGGATAGATGGCTAGTAGTGCATGTAATGGACAACAAGGTAAACTGGAGAAACTACAATTTCAGTTCAGCCAGCCACAACTGCTAAAGACCTCCACGTTGGTGCGCAGGACATGTGCATCTGTGGAGTCTGGTAAAATGGAATCGAGTGAAGGGACTTTGGTGTTTGACCAGGGGGATTCACACCCAAGGGTGTCTTGGAGCCTGGGAGTCCTTCCCAAACAATAGCTTATTCTATCGACTTCTGTATCAGTCGACAACCCAAAATCGAACCTGCCGAGTGAGCTATCTGCCGGTCCAGCAGGTGCAAGTCCCCAAGTCCCTCTGAGCTGGTCGCAATCGGATAATTTGCATAAGGAAAGTAGAAACAAGATTTGCCAGAAGGGAATTAAAATTGATTAGAATTTTTTTATTGGACAATAATGGAAAATCATGGAACATCCATCACCTGATCCGCACAACCAGGCTCTGGAGCCCTCTCTGGGTGTTTAAACCTTGAGGGGGGGACCATTGGACTGCGCATTGGAGATGTGACACTCCGACGGACATAGAACACATTTAAGTGGAGTTCACCCCCTTGTCTTTGTATGTCAGCGAAAGTCGTCTTCCAAGGGATGCCATCATATGCCATCTATTTCGACAAGTCGGAGCATCGACTGCACCTGGAGTGGTCGACCTCAATTCGCGACCTGACCTGGAGTCGAACCAAAACCATAGTTTGAATGGTCCGAATCACAAAGAACCATTGTTTTGCCTAAGGACTTGTCCACTAGTACACCAGGTCAACCCTTCGGACGGTCAGGCGACAAGGACTTGAGGTCCACCACGGAAGGACGGACCTTCCTCGATCACCAGGCCACTTGGTCCAGCGGTGCTTGGAGGATCTGCTCACGTTCTCCAGAATCACCGAACCTCCATCGGCCGCTGTGGTCCGCTGTGGGGGCTTCGGAAGCTGAAGCTCCGCTGCTTCTCTGAGGGTTCGGATGTTTTGAAGTTGAACGGTGTGGGGTCTTCCACCAGGTCCTGGTCCACTCTCAAAGGTGTTCGGTTTTCATGATATTCTTCTTAGTTCTGTCTGGTTTACTCTCTCGAAACAGCTGGCTTCTCTCCGAAGCTTCGCGATCGGTGCAGGTCTGGATGAACGGACTGGACCGACCTCCCCAGCGACCGACGACGAGTGGGCATTCGGAAGCGACGGTCGGTGCGTTGCTCCACACGACCAATGGAGCATGTTCGAAGACCGCGAGAACCCTTTCCGACTGAAGGACCTGAATCCAGTCAGCTTCCAGGGGCGTTCTGGGACGGGTGCTCAACGTCGAGCTGATCGTCAGCATGGACGCGCTTCCCCACCCAAAAAGGAATGCAGGGAAACATGGACGCGCTTCGTCTGCAACGGCGGTTTCTTAGAGTGTTGTAATGTACATTATGTAATGCCCCCAAAAACAACATGCTGTTCACAGGGTTCCCTTATATGATTTTATCTTATCTTATATTATTGTTATTATCTGTATTATGATTTCTATGCCAAAAAGGTTCCTCTCACTGTTTCGACTGTTGCTCATTTCCACACTCATCTAGGCCATCCGATGTGGCGTAGGGGTTTGGGCTCCCAGTCCCCATGGACGACGTGGCGTTCAGCGCTCCATGCGTACGCCACTGCGTACGCCATGCGACACCCGCCCCGCCCCGCCGCCTCGGTTGAGCCTGGCGTAGCCCAACATGTCCTTGAAGATGCCCATGTACGCGCAATTCAGCTGCGCGATCCTCCGAGGGGACCAAGGGACCAAGACGCACTCCCCTAGTTAAAAACCCCCTCGTTTTTGGGATCAAACATGGACATCCAACAGGATGCGGCGACGATGCCGTCAGAACTTCATGGCTGTCACCTCTCCACCTTTGAACAGATCACTAAGGGGGAGGGCACTGATACACCTCACCAGCAGTGATACACCACGCGATTGGATCAGTCCCGAAGGCACGCATTGGACTTTGATCACAGATTTCGCCCCACCTCTAATTGACCGCTGCTGTGTGGATTGAGGCGTTGAAAACCAGCGCTGGACAGATCGCCCTATCCTCCAAGAAAAGGCTTAAGATAACGCTTGATGAGTCATTCTGCACCTGGCACCAGGCCCAGGGCCACCATAAGATCGCCTCCGATTCACAGGACAGCCACTCACTAAGCCTAGGCACAGGAGGTTGAACAAGAAGATGGTGGTGCAAATCACGAAGACGCCTCAAGTCACCACCCTGAAACCAGAATGGCCCGCGGGTCCACAACGTCGGATCGTCCCGTTTGGGGCGTGCTTCGAAGGCGGCGTTCGACTCGCCGGAAAGGGAGTTGGAGGGGTAGTCTCTCTTGGACGATCCCGAGCCAGCTGGGATCGGTGAGGTTGCCCAGAGTCTATCTTAGCAGCCTCTCTGCTGGTCCAATGAAATGTCTGGCACACTTGGTTCTGAAATTGTGCAAACGTAGTGCCTGGAAGAAGACATTGATATTCATAGATATGTTGTGATACGTTCAACTTCCTTGTTCTTTTAAAGGTTGCCGCATTCAAGCATTCAAGAGAAAGTGCAACACTGCCACATGAGTTTTCTGTCACAACCTGCACGCCTAGTTGCAGGGAACACCTGATGGGAACTAAGTGGCCCATCACTACATCACTACAGTGACCATCCAATTTCGAGGCGACCAGGGGCGTAACTTGGCTGGCTTTGGGATTCTTTTCGAAAACTGCAGCAACCTGGCAGTGGCTGACATTAAAAAACTGAGTGAGCCTTTATAGCATTCCTTCTGAGAGGCTGATGGACATCAAGAGCTTCGGTTCAAGCTCCAGGTATTGATACTCATCGCTGCTGTACATACCTCAGTGGACGAGTAACGGGTGAGGGGAATAGGCCCACTCATGTATTATGTTAAATACCTCGGATGTGATGTTCTGGTTCGGACCAGGACAAGACCTTTGGTATCATTCTTGATTTTTTCTTTTTGGCTGGTTCCTTTCAACCATTCTTGCATGCTTTGTTTTTTGGAGTTGTTTGACATGATGTCTGTTCCTTTAAACATGTGTTTAATCTTCTTTAATCGACTGTTCTTCTTGTTTTTGTGTTTGGACCGTTCTTGTTTGTCGTTTTCAGACACTGTTTTTTCCTGTAGGTGTGTTTTTCTTTATAAGACATTGTTATGTTTAAGCATTTTTTGGACTGTCTATTTCGTTAGTTTAGTTTTCTTTAGGACTTTAGGCATGTCTTTAGTTCTTATTGTTCGTCCGTTGTTCGTGCAGTCCTCCATGGGTCCCAGAAGACTCCTCTCCAAAGAATCCAGTCGTCCCGCACGTCGGTGCGACTGGACGCAGGCAGCTACTAGCCACAGTGTCGAACACATCACCGTACCTGCAAAGGTACCACTGCATCCCTAGGGTCTGAGTGAGGGCAGACTTGGCCCCCCATCATCACCGCTGAGCGTGGTGAGCGGACTTCGGACGCCGAACGCGGCCGAAACCAATCCTTTTCCCAGTGGCCGAGCATGATGCGGGAGAGGTTCAACATGGCCGGGCCAATGTTCATGAACCTGAGCAATGACTCAGTTGATGGGCAACTGACTCACTCAATGGTCGAAAAGAAGGGCTAACTCCTTCATCCACCTGTCCACTGTCCCTATCCACAAGAAGGTTCACTCCTTCAGTCACGGGCTCCGTGGGGCATCCAAAACAACTTCTGATCTGATCAGACCCCGTCAACTCCTGAAATTCCAATGTTTACCTTTGCCATGGTTCTTTGAGGTTGGGACATGTCCTGAATTAGATTGAATATGGCATATTGAATATATGTAACATGTATGTGACTATGATTAACTGTGTATACGGCTACATGCACTCACACCGACACACACACGCACATCACATTGCGTGACCTTACCTTACAATACATTTAATTACCATAAGTTACACAACGTTGAATTACATTAAATATGTTGCATACATGCGCTTATCGCATTCACAAATGCATGCACACACACATGCATACAAACAAACAAATAGTACATGTATTGCTTTACTTTACGTTACGTTACATTGCGACATTTTCTTGCATACCTACCATACAATACCACACCATGACATTAATTTACATATGTATCTGTATTATATGTACAGTATGTGTGTGTGTGTCCACCCCTGGACAAAGGGTTTCGTCCAACTGATCCACCGTTCACCTTTTCCACCTGTAATTCACATGCAGGAGCGTCCAACTGATCTACCGATCACCTTTTCCACTGCCACCCATGAGTCATATGCAGGGGGCAGAGGGATCTCCAGTCGTGGCCTCTGCCAACGAAGCTCCACACTGGACGATCAGGAAAACGTACCTGCGCCGTGACACTACTCCACTTTTCCGTGCTGTGTTTTGATGCCATGGTTGTTGATCACGATACTCTCCCCTCAAACAGGTTTCCCACAGCTGCTTTCAACCGACCGCGCGAGCGTTTGCCACTGCAGTCACGCACAAACAACTTGTTCAACTTTCAAGTGACCTGACTTTCTCGCCATGCCGTTCCTTCACCATTTTCGACCTGGGAACTGAGTTAACTGAATACAAGTGTCAGAGTGTGTCAACTGCTTTCATTGCATGCAACATAATGCATCTACACAAACAACATGCGACATATACAGAACATAAAACATCATAAACCATGACCATTCTCCATGGTGACAACTATTTGCCCGGACAACATGTTCCCCACACCGGGGCCACCTACCCTGCTTTGCAGGGCCCATCAAGACAAACCTATTCGACTCTTGCGGGCTGCGGGCAGAAATCCTCGCCAAACACCAGTCTTTGAGTGCTAGGGAGTACCAAGCACATGTTAACCCTAGGGCTCCAACATGCTCCTGAGAAGGTGCCAAGCGGAGTTTCACAGCATCGGCCGACTGGAGTCAAGAGAAGGCTGTCGCTTCAGAAGGCGAGCTGTTCGGAGGGGACTACGGGTCCGACCCAATAACTAGACTCTTAGCTTGCCTTCATGATAGCGATGGCCTCCGACCTACATTCAAAAAGTTGGCCCAAGAAGTGCTCCTTCTGGTGGAGAAGAATGAACATCCCCTCCCAGCACTGGTGGTCTGGTAGTCGAAAAACACATGTGCCGCATGAGCCTACGGAGAAAAGGAATTACGCCCGCCGTTAAAAAAAACAAAATGAACCACGGCAACGATGATCGCAAATCAGGGGCTGTTCGTTCATGACGTCCGATGAGGCCTTAGGGCCGCCGTTGAGGGTCAAATTCAGGCCGTCTTGCGACAATGCAACATAGGGTGTTGTACTGACCCAAGATGCGCCATTGACAGATGCCTTGAGAAGAGTTCGCTAGTCAGTCTTGATGATGCTGCGACTTTACCCCTCTGTGATGCCAAGTGTTTGGTTGCGTATGTGCAAGGATCCAAAATCCCCGGGTCTCAAAATGAGACACAGGAACTACTCTCTTTCACTCTCTCTCTCTCTCTCTCTTTTTCTCTGCTTCTTCAATAACTTCCTCTGTTGTCCAACAGGATTGAATTGGTTGTCACCTGTCAAGACCAACCCTTTGTGCAGAACCCTTGGAGTAGTAATTGGCAGCAGTAGCAGCCAGAAACATCTGGGCGTTCCCCTGGCCAATAGCTGCTATATGCTCATACAGCAACATCCTTGAACCCCGGACTTGGAGGAGCATCCGAATACTCGACACAGTAACGAAATCAGACTCGTGGACATCCCTCTGGGGATGCCCCATTGAAGCAAAAAGCACCACTGCCTTCGCGGAGAGAAGTACCCTACAAGTCCAGTCATGGTCATTTGCCTCCTTCAGTAGTGAACTCCATAAAAAGTGAGCTCATTGACCCTGTAGTAGTAGGGATCTCTCTCTACTCTCCGTCCCCTCTCGGATCGGGTCTCCATTCCTATTGCGCGGAGGTGCGACACCTCACCGTTCCGAACGAGGCTCGTTGGGGTGCACGGTCGGTCTCCGTTTGGACGAAGAAAGCCACCCCGACATGGAAAATCATCAACAAGCACCCCCCCCCAACCATGTATGGGTTTCGAAAGCATTGGGGGGAGCATTGGGTATGGTTATGTGTTTTTTATCTTTCGAAACACACCCAATGCTCCCCCCAACTGGGCCCCAACACAAAGGCGGATCTCGAACATTCCACCACACTGTGCTCCAGTTTTGGGCCCCAAGTCCTGTTGAGGTGGTCAAGTCCACGTCACGTCATCCCCACTCTCTTTTGATACACGTACCTCCATAAATATCCAAGCACATTGGCCTGGCCCAAAGTTCATAAGTCCCCTTTCAAGATCCTGATAGTGGTGTCAATGGATTTGCAAACAAACGTGAAAAGAAATCCCCCCGCGGAACTCTCAACTGTTGGAGTTCATGCGTGTGCCCCGTGCGGATGGGGAACCGTTCCACCTTTTGGGGTCAAACCTCGTGCCGAGGACTCACGCTGAGTACTCGGCCTTCCCAAACGAGCTGAGTGGGGATGAAACACGATCAGCGAAGCCGACCCATTTTGGAAGGCGACACCGGAACTTTCGCCGTACCTGGAACCCTGACGGGAACCATGCTTTTTGTGACACCAATCCAACACCCAAGTGAAGAAACACCAAATACCACTCCACTACGACGCTACTAGCGGCTCCTGGCCTTATTACTATAGGAACAATAAAGCTATTAGGGGCTCCTGGCCTTACTACCAGGAGCAAGGACACTACGAACGGGGCTCCTGGCATCGCTACTCTATAGTAACAAATACCACTCCACTGATCGTCAGGATGCCCGGTCCGCCCCCGGACGACGACGCAGGCCAGGTCGACGGCTCTCCGTGCCCAGCGGCGATCGCACAGGCAAAGGTGATCACCACGAAGGTCAGGGCGAAAAGATACCTTTGCGTGGTGAAAACGTTGGGTCACACATTAAGGTCAGGGCATTGCCACATGTTCGGACCCATGGTTTGGCAGGGGTCCCACGAAAAAGCTGCACTCTAGACCTGAAGAGACGAAGACCCAATTCCTTACAGTATCTGCCTGCGCTCTACCACCAAAATGTACAAATGTCGGGGGCTCCTGGCAAAGGAGACCCTCTAGCGGGCCAACAAAGGTAAAAAGGACTGCTTCGGATCAGCCGTGGGGTGTGCCAAGACTGGAGCAAATGTGAAAGACTGGAGCAACTGCACGATGCGATGTATTCTTCACCTCTTCAAGTCGTTTGGATGCGGAAAGACGCTTATATAATCTACCAGGAGTCACAAAGGGGTGCCTATTGGAGGTTAGGGGTGCCTATTAATTTGAATTGTTCTTCCAATTTAATTCTCAATGTCATTGTAACATGCGGTCAGAACCTCCCTCTTATATACATGTTTTTTTCAAACATTCGAAGCCCTCCAATGTTGCACAAACATATTTCTTCCACAAGCATCCTTCAGTGCAAGAGTAGTCTGCCAAACAAACAGGTGTCATCATAAACCTCTTCCTTTCCGAAAGCTACCCTTTCTCTTTCCAAAAATGAGCAGAAGTGCTTGCGTTCCTCTGTGAAAGCCGCATCCTTTATGACAGTGCTGTCCTTTGTCAGGGCTCCATCATTGGCGTCACTCTACCTTTTCTTGTACCATTCTCCACCATTAATTGTCTCTCCTTTAGAATCGATCTATAGAATCATTCTACATAAGAGCATTATGCATTAAAATTTTAAGCTTGGCCTATTAAATGACAAAGAAACCCTCAATTGCTACAAGTGTTCAACTCCCATTCTCTGCTCTGCAGAATGTCCGGTCGCATTCTAAGTTCCTTTCTTGTCTAGAGCCTTTCTCTGTAAGAACAAATGCCATCATTCGTTGAACCCCAACCCTTCATGCAACTTTCTCATCATTCTCTCCTCATCTCACAGCTCCATTGTAGAAGTCGAGCTTCCTTCGTTTATGAGTGTTCCTCTACTGAACTAGTTCATCATTCATCAACATGCAGTCCCTTCCGCAGTTTCTTCCATTGCCATGGTGGCCTAGGTCTCGAGTTCTTCAACGATTGCAGGGGACTGCCACCTGAACTGGTCAAAGAGCTACGGCCAAATTCATTTGGCGGCCCAAATCGGGAGACCTGGTTCTTCCCCCACCGAACATGAAGAGAATAGACGCCCCAATTGCCATGGTCAACCCACCAGGGTCAACAAACAGGGCTCCGGGAGCCATTTGACCGAACGCCATGCGTGCCGTGTTTGTCCGATGGGTGCCGGGCGGCTGAGCAGCCTCTTGCACCATGCGTCCACATACTAGGACCTGAGGGTTCTTGTGGTGTCTGAGTCTGTTGTTGTCGTTGTGGGCATCTCATGGAAGTCTGGGCGGTATGCCACGCCTGAAAATGGGGAGGTGAATAACATTATACATATTATAGCGTGTTCACACTAATTAAATTAACATATCACATTATATAATTGATTGCATTACATATCACAACTCATATCACATTAATTACATATACATACACATACAGTGTGTTCTTGGTTCATCACGACGTGGTTGGGACCAAAACGTTCCTCCACTTGCTGGGTGTAGAGTTTCGGATGCCATTGGATGCCATTGGTGAATCAATAGACTTCCTTGCGGCTGGGCGCTTGAGGAATGGATGTCAGCTGTTCAACACGAAGTGGTACCATTAGCTGGAATCCCTGGAATCACCCACCAAAGGGGTTGCATGGCATGGCTCTCTCGCGCGCGCACAAGCTCGCACTCTGCACGCTCTCTCGCGCGCGCGAGGGCGCGGCAAAGGTCGAGAGCTTGGTGGAGAACACGGAGAGCTCCAAGAGTAACAGGAAATATCTGAGCCAAGTGGTCAGCAGTTGGGGTGGCTAACTGAGTGGTGGTGGTGGTGGAACAAACGGCTTGGATTGTGCGGCCACCAGGAGGCCGGGATCTCATCTCAATCAGGGAAGGCTTGGATTTGTTGGAACTGGGAAGCCAGAAAAAAAGGACACATATTCACGATTTAACCAGTTCGGGCACACAAAAAGGCACCTGATCCGCAAAATCAGGAGGAACAAACAGTGGTCACAAGTTGGGGTTGCTTCATGCAGTTTCCATGTTTCATTCTATTCCGTTCACGTAGGATGTGGAAGTAAGCTCATATGAAACCCCTCAGAGGTTCTTGGAACTTCGACCGAGGTTCTGGTTCAGTTTTGTGGAACTGGTGTCAGCGAGTGGGCTAGGGTTTTCCAAGAGTCAGGGTCTCAATTCAGCTTTGATGATGCCAAGGAAGTGCAGGACCTGTAGTCTGGAAAATGAAAACCATCTGTGCCAGGCGCCTCAATCTGTGCCAGCCAATTTTCCCACCACCCCAGCAACCGAGAAGACGTTCCGCACGAATTGCATCGGCCAGGGCACAGCAAAGTTGCTAAAAAGGCGAAAGTGGCATAGCTCCCTGTGAGCTCCTGGTGCTCCAAATCTTTGGGCAACTTATAGTTTGTATACACCCGGGAAGGTTAAGATGGAACCTGAACATGGACCTATATATTCATTTACAACCTAGTGGTTTTCATGTTCCATGTTAACCTTCCAGGGTATATATGTATATACATTTATATACCCTCCCGCAGAGGACCACATGGACGTCGGGTAGTAGATGAGAAGAGTCTGAACCAGCGGTCCATTGTCACGGTCCATGTGTTAGTCTGTAGGGGTGTTAGTCTGTTGAAGGAATCTTCAACTTCGCAGGATTGGCTCCGTGCATTCCAAATCGCAGACTTCCAAGAACACCAGGGACCGACCGAACGACCTTCTGGTAGCTTCAAGGAAAGGAAATGCGGGCTACCAGGTTTGAGAGTGCTCACATCTATCATGAAAAAGCGATCATATTTTATTTTTGGGCCTCTCCGCCTCTCGCTGCGAACGTCAATTCCCAGCTCATTTAAGTAGAAGCTGTCATCATAATGACCTCTCTCGGACCTTTTTATGCCATTATGCCATGATGAAAAGGGTTCTTGATTCTTTCGTGGCACGGCCACGTTGAAAGCTGGTAGAGAGGTATGTGTGCTCTTCCCTACCTTTTTTGGTCACAGGGTCCTACACTCCGATTCACTAACATGGAAGTAGAAAACCCTCTGTTCGTAGAGGCAAGCAGTCTTCCAAGGGACCACTTTCCACTTCCATGTTAGTGAGTCAGAGTGTAATACCAATTCTCACCTGAGACAAGGGGAAGGTCTTCTTCAATAGCACCATTGTTTCACCACACCACCCTACAGGTGCCCTACCTAGCCTTACCGCAAGCAAGGTTCCTCACAAAGCCCTCACCTTTGAGCCACATGTTCCTTTGAAAAAAAGTTCATTGCCCTCAGATTTCTTCAAACCACACCTCTGACCACCCTTCAAACCGACCCCAACGGACGGTCCAGCCCAGTGCTGCAGTTCGCAGACAGCGCCGAGAATTGCTGATCGCCCAAGTTCTTCCCCAAGCAGTGCAATAAAGGCTCCTGGCGGTGCGAGCCGCGGCCCTCTAAGTCAAGAGCTGCCCTCAGGTGACAGGGCCTTCACAAAAGTCCAATCTTATTTGTTCTTGCAAGGGACATGTGCAAGGTCAGTGGGAAGGAGTCAGCTTGGAACTGGACATCGGAAGTTGAGTTTGCTGGGTACCAATTGGGTTTGCTAACAACGTTTGAATTTGGACATCCAATTGGAGGCAATGATTGGTGTAAATATGTTTTGCACAACCGGTTTTATCCTAGAGGTGGGATGTTCAATCACCCCTCAACTTTTGTCAATGTATGCGAAGGCATGGCAACATTTAGAGTAGTTGCACACCTGCTTCCCAAAAAGCAGCTTGCTATGTGCAAGGAGTCAGGGAACGTTTTGTCAAAACCATTGAACATTTGGCTTCGTCATGGCTGGCCCTTGTTGTACTTGGGTATCAGCCGGACAATTGGCAGCGCCAACATTTTGCGGGTATGGACATAAAGTCGCCGAAACCACGCCTTTCAAGAAACAGCACAAAAACATAGTTATCTAAAGACAAATGTGACAGTATTGACAATATGTGCATATTATGTAAGTGTTCACCCCGAAAGAATCTACCTTGTCCTGTTCCTCTGCTTTTCTATTGGTATGTAAGGCTCTTTCATGCTGACGAGCTCATCTGTCATATCTTCTCTCTCTGCTGATTGTTTTGGCGTGGGATATCAATGCATGGCTCGCTTCAGCCTGCATTCCTGCGTCTCTAGCATTTCTTTGCTTAAACTGCTTTGTCTTGTCTTTAATTGTGCCATTTGTCCTGAGGTTTTTGTGTTTTTTTTTGTCGTCACTAGCTCTTTCTATTCTCACGGTTTGTCCTCTTGGTTAAGTAGTTTGTAGGAATGAGAAGGTCTAGTAAACTGAGTTCAGAAGAAAGACAGTTCAAGCATGGCGAAGGTTGTGGAGAGATCTTGTACATACATGACTGACTTCCAGCTCTCCAACCGTGGCATACCTGGCATCCAGGATCTGCTGTTCTTGAGAGGGACCACAAACGGACGAGATGGCCCAACACCTTGGGGCACAGGCATAAACACATGATTCCCCAAGTTCCTCACCTACTGAACTGCAAAAAGGGACATTTGGTACATGGCCCGTGCCGCACGAGTCATGCGCCATGCGCACTGGCCCAAGGCATTGAGGTGAACATGTTAAGAAACAAATATAAGCCTCCAAGCATCACCACGGCCGTTTCGCAACCAAGCGCCCTTCGCACGTTTCAATGCTGTTAGTTGTTACATGTTATTAGTTGTTATTACATCTGCACGAAGTCTCCCCACGAGTTTGATATATGGAAGAGCTAGTTGTGTTTATCGTTGTTTTTTCAGGTATCCCGCATGGAATGGAGCATTCTGTCGCTCGCCCTGTGGCGTTACGTCTGACCAACTGTTGCAGTTCTGCAGGTCTTCTGTGGTCTTCTTTCCACAAGGGATTGCTGCATTTCTTGTCCCAAAATGTTCCCACCCAGACGCGACCCGGGACCTGAACCGATGCAGGGGTCGGACCCGAATCCCGAGGGTCAGGGGTCTGGACCCGAATCCCGGTTTGAGGGACCAGTCGGGCGTCGTTCACGGAGCGTCTGGGCATGACATAAAGAAGTAAACGGTGTCTATCAGTTGCTTATCAGGTGGGGGCCCCCTATCAGAACACACCGACCGAAATTCGAATCATCTGGCCTTGGCTCCTCTGATTTAAGCCCCGCTTAAAGTGAGTGGGGGTGGGGGTGCTATGGAGTTGGTGGTCAAGGATGTTTAGTCCACCAAGTGAGTTATACCATCGTTTTTTCATTTGTACGGCCCGTTATTGTGTGTTTTCTCCCGGGGGGGTGCTACGTGCATTGTCCGCCAACCACTTGTCACTTGGTTCCGCGAGTATTTTTCGCCACGACGAAGATGAAGTGCAGCTCGTTTCGGCCGATCAAGTACAGGCCAGCATGTGTTCTTCGCTGCCATGCTGGTTGGAGGCGTTGGAAACGAGTTCCAGGTTCCCAGAACCACGGGCTCCTGTGCCAGCATACCTACCATGGTCAGGCACAAAAAGGCACTCAGGCATTCCTCGGCAGAATTTCGGGTCGAAAGATTGCCACCCCTTGGTTGGTGGACCACATTCTGCAATGAACTAGGTGCGAATGGGCCGAATGGGGATACTTTGGGGGTTCGAAAGCAGGATTGGTAAGGTTTCTGACCGTTAACCAGGCCCTGGCCAAAACAGTCCCATTTCCGCCAAAGCTTCAAGCAATCGCCCAGGTGATGTGCTACAAGTCAGCTCAAGTTGATTTGGAGGACAGTGGTTTCTTTTGGCATTCACTCGACATCACGTAGTTTGGGGGACTTTGTCTCAATTCATTAGAAGATATTAGAAGGTTGCAGTACATTGGCAAGAAACTTGAAGTGCATGATTCTTTTCAATCATACAATGCGTGCGTAGTTCCCGCAATCAATTGCCGGGAGGATATCTGATCGTTGTTTGACCTCTTTGTCCGGGAAACTGCTACCGACTGTTCTGGTGAAAGACTCATTCGCCCGATCTACGCTAAAGCCACGGTCGATTCTCCAGCATGTCGGGCAAAGTGGGCACACTAGGGACAACTCCTGATGCGGCGTTTCTTCTCTCAAAGCAAGCAGCAGAGAAGCTGAAGAGGTAGCCGGGCACAGGGATACAAACGATCCTTGGCTCCAGTGCGGAAAGGAATTTAACAGTTACCCTAGGATTCCAACCACCGTTCACTTAGCGGTTCTGCCCGGGGAAGTAAAGAAAACATGTTTTCACTAATAAGGATTTCACATTACAAAACCAGGTCAACCAGTTTTGCTCCTGGACGGCCGACGGTTACATGTCTTTGTAACCCAAACCGGCCTGGGACGAACTGAACTGGACTTGGGGGGCAGGCCTGCAAGTGGGTTGGACTTGGGTTGGACAGTTTGCTGAGGCAGTTGGAAGTGCCCAAATCCAAACAAATCACGGGAATCGGCCAATCACAATGAATTCAGATTGTGTTTGTTTATTGTGATTCATGGTTTCACTAAGCCATACTAAGCCCTATTTCATTTCCCTACCTCTTTCAACCACCAAGAGCCTGGATGTAAGTTGCCGTTCACGGGCTCCGACCGACCGTTTGACTGGGTCAATGGCGGCCGTGACCAATGGGAACTGGAAGAGATACATGCATTCACTTTGGGGGGTGGTGGAAAACGATTGAACAGGGGTCAAGCTAGTAGCCATATATACGCACAACACATGGAGCAGCATCCAGCAAGCCATCAGCACTTGCGCACACGCGCTACGTCGATCCCTTCTTTCGCTTCGTGCCCCGAAGAGTGCGTTCGGGTCGACAGGCCTAGCCTACCGGTGCATCGCCGTTGTCCTCGATTTGCGGCTCCGACTACCAAGGTGCATTCGTGTGTCCCCGGCCCTGCAGCTCTTCGAAAAGTTGTACCTGAGAGGGCCAGGTGTCAAAATAGAGTAATGAAAGATACCCTCTAGTTAGCAGGAGGTAGCAGGAGGGATCATAGATGGATGTAAAATGGATGGCTTGCACAAACGAAGCCAACGTGATGCCAACATGACATCTTCTCCGGCCCGGGGTTCCATCTCCGCCCAGGGTGTTTTTTTGCTTGGTGGGAGCTGCTCGATGGCCGGTTTCCACGACCGAGCTTCTCGACAACTCAGCACCGTCATGGACCCTGCTGTGGGGTCCCAAACCGAGCCGTTGACCTCCCAAGTGGTCTATTCTGTGCATGTTCGGTGGGAAAAACCTGAGTCTCCTGGTTGAAAGACCCATAGCCCGGGTCAGATCTGCTCCCAACCACACAACCTTGGACCTCCAGTTTCACTGGAATGTGAAGCAAAGCAGGTAGCTCAAGGGGCACCTGGAAGGCACCTGGAAGCTTCACCCTGGAAGCTTCACAGCTTAATCCTTCTGCCCATCGTCAGGAGAGAGGTCCAATGCCCGCAGCAGTTGACTCAAACTGAGTCTGCATCGACTCTGTGGCTCCTATCGGTCGATACAGTTTCCCCTCACAAAATGACACCACCCCCCTGCACCCGAACCAGGAATTCCACCGCAACATTCTGCACGCACACATCGTTTCACCGTGGTGGATGTGTGCGTTTCACCCTCGTGCTGCATACCATGTTTAGCATTTCTTTCAAGCAGCATGTGCCGAAGGATCAGCTGTCCCATGCCAAAGATGTAGATAAAAATCCTGCCGATGAAGACCGCCAAAATCTGGGCAGAACTTTGTTCGCCACCTGACTCAGCCAGGGTGGAAGAGCAGCTGACAGCTGGTGATGTTGGTGGGTCGCCAGGGATAGCCCAACTCAAACCAATTGTGCTCCAACTTCCAGCAGGGGTCAACAAAAACCACTTCGAAGCCAACATGCCAACCAATCGAACATCTGATGCCGGGACTCCATGTGGATTTGGAAAGAAAACTAACCGCATCTGGCCCAGGGCCCTAGAAGCACAATCCGGATCACAAGGCAAACATATGCAAGCAACATTCAAAGGAACCCGCATCTGTAACGTCTGAAGTCTTCCTCTGCCCACAACACCGTGCACAACTAGGACGAAAGATTCTTCATGCATCCCCAAAAGTGTGTTTGCCCCTCACAACCGAAGAAGACAGGGTCGACTCATTTTCACCCCTCACACTAGGGTCGAACATTCTTCACAAAGCGCGCCTTCAAATTCAAATGCATTAAAATGGCTACCCTCCCCGAAGCAATCATGGAAGTGAAGGTTCTGGCCTCTTGGCAGACTCAGTTTTCCCCTACCAAGAGGGGGGTGTCCACTTCCGTTGCAGGGAGGGTCAGTCAGACTGTCCCACACTCCACCGACGCGACCCATGCCATGGACCTCTTAAACCTTCCACCAAGGAAGCGATCGACATAGATTTGTGGCACTGTCCGGGTTCAGAAGAAACACATTTTCTAACGGCGTCCTCCTGAGGTCGTCACCCAGCAAGTAGAGCCCGCAACTGCCAAGTGACGAGACACACGCCTACCAACAGAAAACATATTGAATATCTGGAGCTTCAAGGGGTGTCCTGTC